AATCACTTTCTTAATCATGCAATGCAAAATCAGTTGCTTAGCTTCAAGATATGTTGGTAGTTCATTTTACAATCAAACGCTATTTAGTGTTTTGCTGGCAAGGTAATTGTACGGAGTTACAAGTATTTGCCAGAGATGAGGTGGTTTGAGGAGCATGGCCAAGGTAGATGTCTGGAAACAAAAAGCCCCAAAAGAAAAGGCACCTAAGTTGTAGCAGGTTCTCGAATGTTCATATACAGCTGTAAAGAGAGAATTAGTTTCATTTTGCATCAAAATGTTTATCTGTTTCTCCTGCTGACTTTTTTTAATTACTTTTTTTAATTGAATTTCAGTCCCTCATACAATTTACATTTTGTATAAGGATTGCAATTCACTTAAAATCATTAGTATGTTAAATGCAGTGCATTTTAGCTAAAACATGTCCTAGACATTATTCAGTTAAGGTTAATCGATTTACAATTACTAATACCTAGCTTAATTCACTTAAGAAAACTTAAAGGTATTGGATGCTTCATAGAAACCCAAACTTGCCTTTAAATTTTCCAGTAAACTCAATATCCGTACCCTGAATTCTTGAACTGTAGAACCTAATCAAATTCTTAAAAAGAAAAAAAAACACACACCTATAGATTTTAATTGGATTTCAAATTCTTATTTTTTATTTCTGAATTTGAGGAAACATACTGCAGTATGATAAATGAATTACGTAAGTTGTGTACTTGTGTTGATTTGACTTGTGTGTACTTTAGTGCTCATTATACAAGGCTTGAATCTTACTGTCAGGATACTCTGAAGTTCTGTAAAGTATTTATAGACTTATGAAATCTTTTGCAGCAAATTGTTTTTTGCTCATTCTGTAACATGGAAGTATATTGTTAGATTAAACTTTTCAGTAAGTTGTCTTGGAATTTTTCTGACAGGTTATTTTCTTTCAGTAAGTTAAATTGATCATTTTCATTTATCCTTTAGAAAACCAACATTTAAAAAAAAAAATCACCTGAGTAATATCTAGACTTGTGACAGCATCTGAGAATCCCTTGATTTATCTTCAATTTTGTTTCTTAAAGGGGTTGTGTTTTATACTACCTTTTTAATAAACAAACTCATGAACAAAACAAGTCTTTTCTGATTAGTTTTGAGATTGTCTTTTTTTTTCCCCTCAGTAAAAGATACCCGAGCATTTGGTGCCCAGCGACTTCAGTTTATAAAGCGTATGTGTTTGCATGCCAGAGCTTTCCAACTGGAGTCCAGTAGACGTGTCTCTAGAATGGTGTTTATGATGGGACGTGGTGTTTGTTTCCTTTTTGTGGGGTTTGCCTCAGAATTCTGTCCTGGCTTGGCGTGTTAACAGACCCTGCACGAAGATAAAAAGGCACAGAAGGAATGGCTGTAGCCACCATGGTTACAACTGAGATTGTGTGCACGGGATTGGTTTGTTAAGGACAAGCAGAATTTCAATTTTTACTCTCAGAAATGAAGATTTTTTTAAAAAAAATTTTTTTTTTTTTTTTGTTCAAAGCTTAACATTTTGAATGCTTAAAAAGCACTGGAAATCAGTTGTTTCACTTCATAAATTACAAAAGGATAGGGCTGATAATCCCATTTTTACCCTGTAGTTCTTCGGGGTGTTCACCTAGGAGCCTTAAACTGGTGCCATCTAAGAACCTTACGCATGCTTTAACTGCCGGCCTAAGAGGAAATTCTTGAATTGAGCTCTTGAAAAGCTTTAGCGGAAGAAATCTCTGCTACACGAAACAGCTTAGAAGAGGGGATCAAAGAACAAATGATTGAGATGTTGTGGACACTTGCCCTGCTGGTAGACTGGAGTGCAGCCTGTCTCACAATGAAAATGTGTTTATGCAAAGAGTGTGTCAATAAAAGGCTAAGTGCTGTCCCGGGAAATCTTACAGCCTGGTAGTTAAGTTGTTCTGGGAGATGGCAGAGGGCGGATTCGTACGTACCGCGGCAGAGGGAATTGGATTGTGCTCTCCTACTTTCTGGGTGAGTAAACAAACTCTTAAGCTACTGCATGAAAGACATAGTGTCACCAGCTTGGTGACTCCAGTTCCCCAGTGTACTTTTCCAGCTGAGGCTGGCAGATTTGCCCCTGATTCAACGTTTCTGGAATGGCTGCAATTTGGTGATTTTGGTAAATTTAATACAAAAAAAGACCCCAAGCTACCTGTTTCTTGCTACAGCTCTTGGAGAACAAGAACGGTATTTTTATTTTCTGAAGATTTCTGTAGTCATTTAAAGAGATCCAGCAATGAAGAGAGGGAAGATTGGTCATCCAGCTTATCTAGGGTGGAGACAGGTGATCTTTTCCTTCTTGCGGATGTTTGTAGTTACACACTTCATGCTGAATAAACTATAATCTGGCATAGGAAAGTCCTTTCTGACCCTGGCCGAGTTTGGTTCTCTGCCACAACTTATTTATCATCTTGCTCTAAACTCTTCTGAAGCCCAGGCGCTGTCGTCTTTATTGTGTACACATCGTCATAAAAAAAAAAAAAAAAACCCAAAACCAAACCTACTTGCAATCCTATTTTCCTCATTCCTGAAACCTCCTAACCCGGTTGACTCGTTGGAGCGCATTTCACGCATTCTTAGCAGATAGGCTGAAGGAAACGCCTAGCTCGCTCGCAGCTAGAGGCTAGAAAGCATGTAGGGAGTTCATGAACGTTGCTTGTCTCCTCCTGCAGTCCCTCAGAGCGCACATAGCCTGCCGGGGGAAGGATCCCAAACTGCTGGGCACAGCATGACCCTCCCACATCTGGAAAATCTTACGGGTGTGACACTGCTCGCGACAGTGAGTTAAGGTAGGAGAATTCAATGATAATTCCAACCTATGTTCGCTGACGTTCTCAAACGTTCCCTTATTTGAAAGATACTTGATGAAAGAGAATGCCTGCTTGTTAAAGTATTGCTTAATACTTGCGGAATTCTTTTTTTTTTAATTTTACTTATTTTCAAAACTGGTTTGGGCTGCATGAAATAGAAGAACAGAGAGTTCCCTGTCTGATGCTGCAGTGATGGGAAATGAATAATACTAGCAAGGGTGGGGAATGTGAAAAATATTGTAAAGTGGTGTGAGCAGTCACCAACCGTCTCATAGCCTGTGCTGACCATGCATCCTTGTCCACCTGAAGGACAAACAACTTGCACAATTATGTGCAATATTTTGCCATAATTAACCCATTCTGAGAGTAGCGTGGGGGTGAGCTGAGTCTGTTTCATCGTGAGCTCCGCTGCTTCTACTACGTTTTGACAGCAGTCTGCGGCAGGCACAAATTGGAAGGATTTCTGCCTTTTTTTGCAGATTTCCTGCTGGAAGACAGAAGAATGGGAAGTTCAGGTAATGAAGACCATGGTGCACCAAATCTAAGTCCTGGGTCTTGGTACATTAGATTCCTCACGTGCATATGATCACTGAGAGGACTGAGATATAACCTAGGCTATATCCAGCCTTCTTAGGACTAGTTTTTAAGGGAAATGAGAAAAAAAATAGATAAATGACTGTTCTTTTAAAAAATGTATTATTTTTCTAGCATTGTAACTACCGTGGTCACAACTGACACAAGCATTAACAGCTGCTACACACCAATAAACGGTGCTGCCAGCTTACAATTAATGTCATGAGCAAGTTAAGCATGTTAATAAAGTGGTACAAAGATGCAATGGCTGGCTTGCACTGAGTGAGGAACAGGAAAAATAGACCTCTGGGCCAGAGCTAATGCTTTTTAAATGGTATGTTGAAGTGTAGTGGTGGAGCAGTGTAGGAGGAGCTGGTTTGCTGCTTGCTTTCAGGATGGCCTGATGTAGTCCCTTCTCAGGCCATATGGTTGCTGATGGCTTTGCCGAGCTTTCACCGCTTGGGTTGGAATTTTCCATGGCAAGCGTTGGTCTCCAGCTGAGCAACCAGAAAGTTTCTTAACGTGAACAGTGGGTTACCTTCTAAAGCAAGACTGGGGAAAAAATAGTGTCTCTTCCTTTGCTTGAAGTTCTTCCAGTTGTTTGGCTGGGTTGTGCTAGCTCCTGCTCCCCTCATGTGCCTTGCGAAGGTGCCTGTAAATCGGGTGGACGGGGTTTTGGTTTAAGTTTTCTGTGTTTGGGAACGTTTGGTCAGTTTTAATGATCTGAAAGATCACCTTCTGAATCAGCCAACTGTTACAGAGTATCCCCTTGCATTTCCTAACTGGTGACCAACAATGGTATGTGTCCCATCCCCATCACTGCGTTCAGGTTTGGAGCTCGGGAAGGGATGCAGGAATGGCAAAGCAATAGAAATCCTAACACGAGCACTGAGAAGCTCTTGAGTTAGAACATAATTTTTTTAGTTGATGATAGGGGATTGGGGCTAGCTGAGCAAGGGATCATGAAGCAGGGAGAACTGAACAGAGCATATGGGGGAGGCAGAGGTAACACACAAAACTATACATAGAAGCAAATGATAAACATGGACACAAAGTTTGTAGATGAGGGCTTAAGCAGAAACAGGGGGATGGATTATGGCTGGACAACCTTAATCCTTGTATTTCTTAATGTCTGAATACTTGGTTTTGCAGCCTGAACAGTCTTTTCATGTGTAAGAAACACTGAGAGACCATTTGGAGGCAGCCTTGCAGATACTTCAGAATACCCTTCGAGACACAGATGAGTGCAATGTTTATTAGGAAGCTTCTGAGGATTGGGGGGGTTATGACTGGAAAAGAAATCAGATAAATGTATCAGAATAGGTTAAGCAATGCTACATATTGCAGGGTTAGTTGGATGGAAACACAAATCTAATGATTCATTAGGTTTTGCTTGATACAACTGGCTATTGGCCGAAGGTTTCCCTGGTCTCTGAAAAACAACAGCCTTCTTTTTGCTACCAAGGTAAATCAATTATGCTATGCAGTGTGATGAGCTGACAATGAGACTGGAAAATTGAATAGAAACAGCAGGCACTTCTCACTGCATTCATAGCCTGAGCATTGCTAAATATGATTTTGATTACAGCAGAACGTATGAGCTCTGGTTGTAGAACCAGCTCCCCTGCGGCCAGAAACTGCACAAATGCATAAAAACGATGCTTCTCCAAGGCAAGCAGTGATGTTCCTTGTCCTACTCTTACCATATCTGGCAGCAGAGATTTTTAAGGAGAACAAAAAGGAGTCTTACAGTCTTCTGTTGACTTCCTGCAAACTATTTTAGAGTAATTCCTGCCTTAAATCCATAACTTCTGGTTGAGCTACAGCGTGTTTTAGCAGTCTTGCTACCAAAGTTTTAAGCAGCTGGCAGACCCACAACGTTCTTAGGTAAGTTGTTTCAAATAAAAAAGGTTTTTTGTTTGCTTTTTTTTTCTTACTTGAATTTGCCATCATTCAAATTTCCAATAATTTAATCTGAGCCTCTTTTTCTCACAGGTGAAGCAACAAAGCGCTCTCGGAAGTCTTTTCCTTGTGGGGGTGTGTGCTAACAGCGAACAAGGTACTTCACACTTTACCTTATCTGAAGTTGTTATTATTTTAAGCTCCAATTAGTATTTTTTCCTTTTTTTTTTTTTTTTTTTCACTTTGTCAATATGGGGTTTTTAACAATACAGAAAATTGGACACAGCATTTTGATAAGTTCACCCTGAGCTTCACCCAGGGCTGATGCCACCTCTATATTGTCTGATTTGTTGAAGTGCCTCAGTTCTTTCAGGACATTTCCATCCTCAGGGTGTGTTTGCACAGTGGTAGGTCCTAAGCCCAGGGTTTCAAAAACGGATGAAGGCCGGGGTGAGAAACGACAGCTGGTGGGTAGATGTGCCCTTTTTATTCCTCAATGGAGCCAATGCCGTGGCATTGACAGGTAACTCGTACGAGGTTGGTATCCATCAGGCCCTCTGCATCTCCGAGCCATTCACTGCTTTCAAGATGCAGTATCCCTTACTGAGGCTAGATATTGTACAGTTGTATCAAACTTGGAACTCACCAGCAAAAGATACTGCATCGAACGAATTAAAGACTAATTGGACTCAATTTGTCTGATTGGGAAAAATGCACTCTCATCACAATTCTGACAAATGTAGCACATATTTATTGAAAGGTTTCTCCTTTTGTTTTATACTTTGAGTATTTCATATTGGAAGTATATAATAAGGAAATCAGTAAAGAAAAGGCGCTTGGAAGAAGCAGAAACCCAGTTAAATAATCTGATCTTACTAGTAAACAGTACTTCTGGCCATACCAGTTTCAGGAGGAAGATGGGCTCACCACTGTCTGTGCACTTTAAGTTGAATAGTATTCTTCTGACTGGTCTGGGTTTTTTTTTTTTTGGCAGGGGCTGTTGGTTATTGAAAATGGAAGAAACAAGGAAGCTCTGTCCGAAGCAGTGTAAAAGCAAAGAGCCTGTGAAAACAGAATGGGGGTCTCAGAGTGTTGTATTTACGTATTTCCAAGGGGATATTAACAGCGTGGTAGATGAACATTTTTCTAGAGCTCTAAGCAATGCCAAGAACCCACAAGACCTGAGCACAAAGCATAAGGACGAGACTGTTGTCCTGAAGAACGGTGAGCCGCTTTCCATGCATGAGCGTGGTGTTAGATGGGGGTAACTGGCTTTCACTAAGGAATTTAAGGTGCAGCATGCTTAAATTTGGAACTGTACACAAACAGAAAGCAAGAAAATCATGCTTGCAACCCCCCGGATTATGTAGCTGGGACTTCCTGGGTAAATCCCCGTGCTTGCTGGGGTGCTTCCCAAGCAGGGCCTGTTGGCAGGACTGGGTCCTCGTTTTCCAGCCAAGAGTCTCCATCACTGTCAGATGCGTTAAGTGCATTACAACTTAATTTGTCGTCTCTGCCAAAATATATTTGTCTAAGCTTGCAATTTTTAAAAACCTGCCTATGCTAGTGGCCTGTAAGAAAACACGTACTATTTATTTGAAAGTATTGGTGGTGGTGGTTTAGTCTGCTTTTAGTATGAATTTGTGGTTGATTTTTAAGATAAGCAGCACTAAAGTGACTATATATTTCTGTAAAAATGAAAATGCTATCTGGTATCATTCCTTTAGAAGTCCATTAGAATTTGCCTTGGAAAAAAGTAAGAATTGATGAGACTTCAGATGCTTTCTTTCTCTTTTTAAGTAGATAGCATGTCTCCCCATCAGTGGAATTTCTCTTCACATTGCTCCAAACCATATCCATCATCTTCTGCAGCAAGCATGTCAAATTCTGGTCTGAATTTTTCTGCTGCTGGTATGGCAGGCCCATACCAGCCATCAGCTCTGCGGAGTCATCCAACTGAACCTGCAGATTTATGGTCCTTCCCTTCGATTGGGACTCCCAGTCTTACCAGTTCGGTATATCATCATGCCTTGCCTGACCTGCACGCGGTAGATGAACCCATCTCTGACAGGAAATACGGTTCTCTTCTTGGTCTTCTGCAACAGGAAAGGTGCCTAACATCCATGCAGGAATGTACCATGAAGCAACACTCAAGTTCTGCTTGTGTGACTGGACCTGCTAGGTTACAAAATATAAGTCAAAGTTCAGCTCCTGGGGGAGGTAAGGAAATACCGTCACTTTATTCTTTGATGGCGTCTTCTGTAAAGAGATAAAATAATGCAGTCTGTTCCTACGGTTCTCAAATTGGAGCCCTCTTCAGCCCAGCTCGTAGACTTTTTTTCCAATAGATAACCTATGGTGTGTACTGTGGTACTTGGGGTTGATTAGCTATACAGCATGGCTTAATCAAAAAAGATATGCATTGTCCACTTGCACAATAATTTACTTTCTGGACTACATTAGGGAGATATTGTAAGGGTAGACGAAGGGCTTACGGACGTGGTTTAGTGGTGGGATGGCAGGGTTAGGTTAAAGGTTGGACTTGATGATCTTAAAGGTCTTTTCCAACCTAAACAATTCTATGATTCTATGAATATAAACATTATTCACAGTGCTGTCAGGATCCCTACCTTATAGGTAGCAGGTATGGTGTGTACCAGATGCTCCCGTATTATGACCAGAAAGGTGTGGCCAGGTAAGAGCCCTGAGCTCTTATCTTACTGCGTAGGGCATTAATGATATTCCAAATACAGGATGTGAAACAGCAGCCCTTACTAGGAAGGCCAGGGATTTCTCTCCCTCCCCAGTCCCTGTCTGTAGCTGGAAGGACTGGGACAAAGGGGCTGGCGTGTCAGCCTTGCCTTGTGTGCCGGCTAATTGCTGCCTGCCGGGAAGCACTGCTGCCCTGTGTGTCAAAGGCTGTGATTGCTCTCTGCAGTAGATTTCCCAGAGCTAATGCAATTCATGCAGGAGCGATGACTGTTGCTTATTTATTGCTAACAATTAGTAGGAACCCCAATCCTACGTGCTGCCAGCACACAGAAGAAAGATGGCTGGGGATGGAAGTCCATCTCCCAGGAGCTTACATCTCCACAGCATCTAGGACTGCTGGATGAAATTGCTCCCTTGTGAGTAATTCCTGCCTTTGCAAAGCTCTCTGGGATCAGGCTTCCTGGCCGGTGCCGTTTGGATACCCCTGCACTGCCGTTCCTGGGCGTCACCCAGAGAGTCAGCTTGGCGCTGGTCTCCAAGAAAGAGGGTTGTGAAATTGTTTAGGGAGTCTGCTGGAAAAATACAGTGCCTCCTACTTGGTGCTTCTAGAGAAGACGGACCAGGCGTGAGAAGAAGCGATCTTGAGTCTTAGGTTCTGAAAAATAACCAGCTGTGAAAAACCTACAGGTTACCCAGCACGGGTAAAGGTACGGTTTACACCTGCAGGCAGTCTTGTCCACAGTTCCTCTTTTGAGGCTATACCGAAGCTATGTTGTCGTGAGGACCCCAATTTTAGGTGTTTTGCTAACTTATTCCTGCTAGAGTGTATAACGCCTGTCTGTGTCTATGCATGGAAAAGGAAGAGTGTGTATGTCTTCAGCTGGAACACAAATTCTCTGCTTGTGATATGTAGTTGGATAGATTTAACTGAGGCTGTATGTATGTGCTGCACAGGCACGCACCCTAGACTTTTTGCAGCTAGTGACTGACAGTCTAATTACTTTAGAGACAGTGTCTGGACCTCTAGGATTTAATTTAAGAACAAGGTTAGGTGCCCTCTTCCCCCAAGGGGGCAATGTGAGCCTACTAAGGCTTGGGAGCCCGAGGAACCAACTCATCCAAAAAAGGAGATGTTTCATGAAACTAGTCTTGGGATCGAAAAAGGGAAGAAGTGCTAACAAGGGTGGACTTCTGTTCAAAATTTCAGGAAGAAAACGAGTGAGGAAAAATTGAAAAGGAAATTAAACTGCTCGATGTTCCCCAACTATTGCCAATTAAAGCTTTTTCTTTCAGGGTGTTTACAGAGCCTTTCTGAATATTCGGGGAGCCCCATAACACTGCATGTGTAACGCCCTGCATGTGCTTATCAAGCAACCCAAAAAGAACAGATAAGAGATGGCTGGCCCGTGTTCACAGCGAGTCTTTGGCAAGCCCCTAGGATGTGTGCATCTAGTCTGGCTGTGGGAGTCCCCGTTTCTTGGCTCTATCTGTTAAATATACTTCTCGTTGCGCTGTGTCATGTTTAAGAACAGCTGATATTTATATTTATGGAAGTCGTATATTGCTGTGCCAGACAGCACAGAGCTCTCCAGCACCTGTGCTATAGGCTGGGCTGCAAAAGCACAAGGTTTCTTTAGGAACTACTGCCTACTTTTAGCTCTATGTTGAATTTCTGCTCATCTCCAGGGTTTTTTTTGGTTTGTTTTTTTGGGGGTTTTTGTTGGTTTTTTTTTTTTGGTTTTTTTTTTTTTTTTTTTAGAGAGGAAAGCAAGCTCTTACCAAGGCTCAGAAAATCCCAGTGTAAGCCATGCCACTGCAGGTGAGTAATGAAACCAGCAGGTTTGGAACAAATGAATACTCGCCTGTGAAGGGTAGCTGCCTTGCTTATGCGCACAGAATTAAAGATGCTTCCTTGGTTGCTTCCAGACGGTATTTCAGAAGCTTGCCCTTCCCCAGATATACACACCACGTCCCATAACTACATTAACAGAGAAAAAGGAAAATGTTCTATTAAAATAAGATATATGATTTTCTAATTCCATCTACCGTAGTTTCTGTGGTTATACCATCAGCCTGCCGCTTCACAATGCCTGTTTTGCTCTGGCTGTCCAAGTTTCAGATCCCAGAAAGACAGGACACCCCTTGCCTTGTACCTCAAGCACCTGGCTTCAGGCTGAGGTCCCTGTTGGGCCTGCATGCTAGCATTACCGCAGTTTTCATCAACAAACCCACCATGCTGCTAGGAGATTTCTTCTAAGAAATTGCTCCCAAAGCATTCAGGCTTCCATATTTTTATTAGTCTCTTGAGACTGTGTCATACCCTTATGCTGGTTCTTTGATGTGCAATATTTTGGGGATACTTTGGATGGGTCACTCTGTTTATTCTAGTAAGGGCCCTCTTGCGTCAGACCCAAAGGTGCAATTTTGTTTGCACAACATCCTAAAAGATTGCATGGACTATGCTGTTTGACTGTCCTGATCCTGCTGTGTCTTTCAGGTATTCAGATTCATGACAGAAGACAAGATTTGTACTTCTAGCAACTGGATGTTTCTACTTTATCCTGAAAGAGAAAGTTCTTGCTGTGAACTTTTACTATTTGCAACTGTGAATCAAGAAGGAATGAACTGCAGCTATTCTGTGCTTTTTCTCTCAGTTGGAAGAATACATGTACTATTTACTAATTGGGGAATGAAAAATCACCTTTTCTATTTAGTAAATAACTTCTAATAGCTGTGGTATTAAACATGACAGTATGTTTGTTGTGAAGAAATATTGTCTGCTTAAGGCTTTTCATGCAGCCCTCTCCAAAAGGACTCTTAGCACTTTTTAATCTTTCTGTGTTTACTCATTTACCACCTCTTGATAAGAAGCACAATTCTTATCAATGCAGTTAATAACTGATAACTGCAGGGATGCAGTTAGCATAAATATGGTGCTGCAGTTTCTTATCTTGATTTGGTATCTCCAAATTATTTAAAATAGTCTTAGACCATGGGCAAGACTTCAAGACAACCACGGGTCAGCAAAGCACATTATCATATTTATGTTTTGGAAGTACAATAATTCGTATGCATACTTGCAATTCACAGGGACATTCTTCAGAAACTATGTAATATGCACAATGCCCGAAGGCTCTGTTTTGCCCTCTTATGATGTATTCTTTAGAAAACAGTGAATTAGCACTAGATCTGGAAGGAAATCTCGGTCCTCACTGAGCAAAAAGCTGGAGGTGGGAATGGTCCACATCTGGAAGGAAATCTTGGTCCTCACTGGATGCAATTAAAATACCACTGAGCAAAAAGCTGGAGGTGGGAATGGTCCATTTTCCCAGGCTCTCTGCAGGTGTAAAAGATTCTTTGTCTAAATAAACCGTGTGTGGCTGAATTTAAATTATTGAGCTTGAAGGGCTCTGTCACCAGAACAAGTAAAAATCCTTCCTTTCATGGTAAGTGCATCCCAGTGACCCCAGAACGGCTGCACGGAGCGTGGTGGCGATGCTCCTCCGTGCAGCAGAAGTGGCAGCCATGAACCGTGCATCGATCCTGCACGTTCAGATCCCCACCTCGTTTCACCACTTGCCCTTGGCAAAGACGTTTGCTGAAGCTGCGGTGAGTAAAACCTCATGTGACCGACTGTTAGGTTTGTGTATGTAATTCCTGCAGTAAGAGAGACTGCTTAGCCTTTATTGTAAATCCTAAGGATACAAAAAGATTTGGGTTTATTTATTCCTTCTTCATTAGCTATATGTTAATTTAATATAAAGGAACACAAGTAACTTTATCTGACAGCTCTACGCAGTTGCTTGAGGAAAGTTGCCCATTGAGATCCTAGAGCTTGTGATTTCTAGGACAAGTCCTTGGCTGGTACAAGCGTTTGTGGCTCTGTTTGCACCAGATACCTATGCTGCCACCGGCGTACTTCGGTTATAACACCTTCTAATTTTATAAATAATTTGAGTTCAGCAACTTTAGATATTTATGGTACTGATTTAGAAAGAAAAATTAACAGAATCACATTTTGTATCGTACAAATTTGCTCCTGAGACCACATGCAAGAGGAACCGTTTTAACTGGGCTAACAAAAGGTAGACCAACATCCTGTCTTCCTATGGACAAGCACCGAAAAATCACTCTGTTTTAATATTTATACAAAATTGTCTTTCTTCTCTCAAGTTTAGAAATACCTCTCCAATTAGTTTTGTCATCCACAAACCACTTAATTCTCTGATTTTTAAGGCTACGTGGTAATATAATCTGACTTCTTCTATGGGCTGAAGCAAAGATTTCCGAGCTGCACCCTGTACCTCTGTCTTACTGGCATGTGTTGTAATTCCAGTCAAGTTATTGCTTTAAAATAGTGAAAAATTATTTTTGTCTCCCAGTGCCACACCTCCTAAAAGAAAAAATAATAATAAAAAAAAAATTAAAAAAATAATTTTGCTCTAAGGTCTGAAAAGACCTAAAACAGTATATCTAAATGCTCTTAAAATGTAGTGTTGCTTGGAACAGCCTAGTCCTGTGCATATTTATATTAAATATATATATAATCTTTATATATTTTATATATATAGTGTTATATGTATAAAATATATATATAATTTAAAGCCCGTGTTTCTGGCGAATCAACTGAGTGCGATGGGACAGCATGGGGGAGGAAACCCCCCTTGTTGTTAAATGCATGACACCTACTGCAAGGACACAAGGCATCACCAATTCTGCCTTAACATGGGAAGGCTTTGAGCCATTGCTGCAAGGTTTGGCAAGGCCATGTCCTCGCCACCCGGCCGTGCCGCAGACCTGGGGGAAGGGAACAAGTGCCCAAGCAGAACAGGGGCCGGTGTCTTACCCCAGGCCCCGCTCGCCAGTGCTCTGAGCCGCAGTGCTGGGCTCCGCG